TTTTTTTTATTGAAAAAATGGTGAAGCATTATTTCGCAAACAATATTCTTGTAGTGCACCCAAATATATTTGAGGCGCGCACCGCTTATCGGTTACAATAGATTGCAACCAGCCATTATCCAGGTTGCTGAATTGGCTTCCGTTCTTTTTTCTGCCTGTCTCCTAAAAACCTGTTGAGCGGTGGAGCAGCCACAGTAAGGGGAGCGAGTACTTTCATATGTGTCTTGACAATTTGTCTGTCGGAATAGGAGGTTCAATACTTAGGTGATAGCGAGGAGCGATGGGAGTCTAGGTTCAATAAGCAAACAACCTTCCTCTACACCTCTCATAATGATCTTACATAATTTTCTCTAAAAGCTCCACTTACATTAGGGGCACATCCATGATACGGAGTGAAGCCTAAGCAGCTTTGTCCACGTTAAGTCATGAATACTGATTAGGAGTGGCGGGCGCATAATATGTTCGCGGGTGGAGAGGAAGGTGTGGGGGGAATAGAAAGGGGCACGGCTCACAATAGGCCTCTTTGGCCAGAGCTGTTTAGAAATTTTTGAATTTATTCGATTTTACAAAAATCTTGATAATAATAAGTGAAATCAAGTTGCTACTCTAACTTTTTTTGCACTTCCGTTAAAGCTTGGCGGCCTAATTTGAGGAAGCTCTTTCTGACCTTTCCCCTCCTTGCTTCCGCCCCGGTTACATGTATTCCCATATATTGGCTTTGGACCCAGTCTTCTATGTACAAGAGACTCTAACCTTAACATAAAAACATCACCTTGTCCTTCTCCTCTAATAGCATTAGTTCTGGACACAAAGACGCAAAGTCAGCAAATAAAGTAACAGTACGGCAGTAGATCTGCTTGAGGATATCTAAAAAATTCTCCGGCTCAACAAACTGATCCTGATTCCATCCGATCTAAACGAGACCAAGAAGGATATGGACTATTTTAAAACACATAAGATTCTCTTACGGGTGTTCTAGAGCAGCACAATTGTGGCTTTTCTAATACCTCAGCCAGTGAAAGATCTAGGGTATAGTCGAAAGGCGACCTCGCTGCATCAGAGTTTTCACACAATCTCAAATAGTGAGATTAGCGCAGAGGATCCTTGAAACAAATTAATTACTTACCTCTCTAAGTGCACAAGTTTCTTGGCGTAGTCTGAACCCTTTGTAGTTTTCTCTAAGCTTTTGATGAAATGAAGTCCAATGCTTGTTACGTCAAACAGTTCGTTCTGCAAAGCCCTAAGTGTTATCAGAATCGTATGCCGAGGCCAGTTTCATTCTTCAATTAATGTAAGATAAGAGCTATCTGTAGCATGTCAAAAGGCTAACCAGTTTAATTTTGACTTCATTCGCTGATAGGTACGGCACAACTGCCAAATTGTTGTTACCACTTTTAGCAGAGTTTTTCTTAAGTCGTCCAACGTCTGCAAATAGACTGCAAGAGTATAGAGTTAAATTAATAGTCAAATTTTTTCGGTATTAATGCA